TGTTTAAAAGTTTGTATAGTTATTGTTAAATAATTAATTTCAGCATCATTTGAGAAATTTTACCAAAAACAAATGCTTGTTCATTAAAAATTGAAAGTGCATTGAAGAAGTTGAGTCTCAGCCAAGTAAATTTATTTTTTATGTAGTTTCATATTTTAGGAAAGACTTACTGTTATTAATCTCTTGTGTTATTTGTAAATGTATTAGTGTATTGTAAACATTAATAAACAATGGCAGCAGAGGAGTAATCATGTTGACAAYGGAGCCTCCTTTGCTGTTGGTTTAAACAGAAAAAAAAATACTCATGGTTTTTATAATTTTTTTTTTCAGGAAATGCCTTTGAATTAAAAGAATAGTCATTGTTATCAAAAATCCATGTCAATAACATTTTCTGAAAGGTTAGTATTTTTATTATTGGTTATTTATTTTGCAAATATATTTAATTCTTTTATGATTTAAAAATACTAATTTATATCATTCTATATTTTTAGTAAAATTTGATASCTAAAATATCTTCTACTCTATCAAAACAAATAAAATATTTAATAAATAATTTGGTAGTGTCTTAAAATGTAATATTTTTCACTAATATTGAAAAGTCAAAAAATATAAATTTCTTATTACCTCAACAAAATCTTAAGCCAACATTTATGGRATTTTTTCATTAACATCATCTCAATGGGACATGTTCCCCTCTTAATCAACCAAGAATGTTTAAATAATTATAAGTACATAATATTTTAAAAATTTTTTACAGGATGTAGGTTCAAAAGCAACAACATTTCATCCCTAACAAAAGATAGGTTGAAAGTATTAGCAGACCGATTTATTTTTATGGATTATGGACATACAGAGTGGATAATTATGTATGATACAGAAACAGTACATTACTAGAATGAATAAAAAGGTTTAGAAAGGCAACAATGAAATTTAACTGTACTAGTAATTTTTTTGTTTCTGTTTTGTGAGAGACATTTTAAATACATAAGTATATAAATATATAATATGTTAAATCATTTTTTAGATTTAACATATACGTTATATTAAATAAACATAACGTATATGTTAAATCATTTTTTAGATTTAACATATACGTTATATTAAATAAACATAACGTATATGTTAAATCATTTTTTAGATTTAACATATACGTTATATTAAATAAACATAACGTATATGTTAAATCATTTTTTAAGTCAATTATTAGAATTTTCCTTTGTTCTTCAATCAAAACAATTTTATAGAACAACTAAATATTACTGTTATTATGTTTGCAACAAACGGAATGGGTTCAATGTACGTATTGGACAAACGCAATGGCTGTTCAAATGTACAATTTATTAACTATAAATAAATGATTGTAATTCAGTTATTAATATGTAAATATTTACTCAAAAATTTTACATAGACTACATATTTTACAATTTAAAAACCTAATTATTCAACTATTTACAAATCTTAATAATTTTAGTATCCAAATTACATATACGTAATAGTGTTTACCATTACCATTTACCACACCTRCGAGAAACTGGAAAATCAATGTAAGTAATGTATTTGTCATAGATAAACTATTTATTTTTTTAAGTTTCGTAAAACAAAATAACACTATGTAGATTGTAGATTACCGTGAAGAGATACCGTGTTGAAACACCAGGCATGATGAAAGACGAGTTGAAATCGACTTAGGGTATTGAATTACAATACATCAAGTTAATAAAGTTTTCCTAAGGTTGGCAGGGATGTTGGTGCTGCTATATAAGGATATTGGGGAGGAGTGCTTATATCTACACTGTAGGTAGGTAAAGGATGACAAATCTGAAACTTCTCGCGTCACTGTAAGAAGCGTAAGACATTAATATCGTTTTCAAAATTGTTAATATTGGTATTGAAACTTGAAAAGCTAAGTATAGCAATGAATGTATGAAGGTATTACGATGATGTGGATTTTTTGGAGGGGGGGCAATTTAGATTTTTCTATTACTTTGATACTTTTGAGGGTTTAAAAGTAATAAAACTATTATAGTTTTCAATAACATTGGGGAAAAAAAATTAAAGAAAAGGAAATTTTTACGCATAAAACCAGTTTTTGTCAAAATCGATTTTTGATTTATGTGTAACTCTTAAAAAAAATTACCGAAGATAGCCACATGAAATTTTCACCAACCATTAATTACACTATTATTTTTATACACCATACAATTTTAAAATTATTTTTTAAGAAAATTTGCAAATTTTTTTATATCTAAAATTTGTTGTTTAAGGTGAGAGCTAACATGAGTAGTGATGCTGCGACCCAGTGACACGTCATTTGATCCCAAAAATAATGTCCGGCAATAAATAATCCGGTAGCGGGTATAGTGTAGACAATAATTCGGCGATAAAATAACCAGCATCAAAAATATCCCGTGACAACGATAAYCCGCGATAATCAGTTTTTTGGTTTTCGTGTTGTATACAACATTATTATTTTTAATAAAATTAAATATGCCACTCATATTTTTTAAAAGGCATAAAACTTATTATTCAATGGATATTTACATAACATACATAAAATACGATGAAAAATTGTGTGACGTTGCACAGAATATAAGAAATTTTCTTGTTAAGGCTGATATCATACTAAATTACTTCGAGGACACTTGGATTAGACGTCCTGGTCCTGTACGGAGGAAAAGAAGAAGTCCAATTTTTCCATTTAATTAATATATGGAAATGTTTCCATGAAACTACCTAGCACAAATAATGCAGTAAAGGAGTGGCATAATGCATTTAATTCTTCCATAAGATTCCATCATACAAATACAACAATATGGAAATTTATTAATTTTATTAAAACTGAAAAAAACTTGGTGTAAGCTAAAATAGAAAAAAATAATTTAGGAGAGAGCCATGCATCAAAAAGAAAAAAAATATAAAGATTTAGACCAGCGAATAGAATCTATTGTATTAAATTACTTAAGAGCCTCTTTATAAGAGGTGATATAATAAATTATTTAAAAAGTATTGCTCATAATTTAAATTTTTAATCATTAAATTATATATATATTWGAAAAACAAATATATTTATCCTACAATTATTATACTTATATTTACATTTTTATTACATATATATTTATTTTTTTTTTTTACTCAATAATATTGATTTTATATTATTTATTCTCAATAGAAAAACAATTATATTTTTACATTCAATAATTTTAATTATTGATTAGAGTGAAATTTGAGTACAGGTTATTTTTGCACCAGATCTAGTGACGCGGGTCATTTGTTGCCGGATATTATTCACCGGATCAGTGGCGTCGAAGTACTAAAAAAGTAAAAATCTAGTAGAGCAAATAATCCAACATCTTAATATCGGAAAAAATGGAATACCGTGGAGAGGAAAATGGTCAATATGAAGCGGCCCTATCTTAAATTTTCAAAATATGTCTGGCCATGGCCCGACCTAAACATAGGGTTCGGCACCACTGCACCGGATCAAATGTCGCGGAACCCTGCGACCCGTTCCGTCGTTAATAATTATACAAAATTTGTYTGTGTTTTTTTTTAAACGCGAAAATGGCTAAAAATATATGATGTGAGACCAGGCTATTCGTCTATTATCTATGCGCGGTACGCTACTGTTGCTACTAGTACGAAACACAGTCACGTACATTTCCCCAGCCCCACCCATATCAAATTTTCTAAACTTTTCTACGCCAATATTTAGCACGTCATTTGCACGACCTTTTCCGGAATTTGTACGTAATACAGTCGCATATATAGTCATAGATGGCTAGACGACTTTTAATTATGGTTCTAGACCACATTCTATCATGATAAATGTAATATATTATATTATAATGATAGAAAATAATGGACTGGGGTCTGGGAGGTGGAAACGAAAACCTATCACCGGAATGCTTTTGATAATGAGTAGGTTTGTGCGGGGGGGATTGGGACTATAGTGCGAATTTAATGCTCCTCACGATATAAGATAGAATTCGATTTCAAATATTTATATTTAAATTGGCAAACTGCGACACTAGTTATAATCATCATTAAAACTAGATGACGAATACTTTAGGTAGAACTAGATTTGTACATGTTCCATTTCCCCTTCATAGCTAGTCATTACAATCGTAAGTTACGATTCGAAACCTTCAGTGGCCGGACCTGGCTTCACGTCACCCGCGACCCGCCCGAGTGCTTGACAATTCGTTTCCAGTCCATACCACGATTAAAGATAGTTCTATATTTCTTATACTATAAATTACTATATAGTATACTGTAGTTTATACCACGAAGAATATAATTCTAAACTTCGTAGTAGATAGTATCTTTAATCGTGATCGTGAGTCGTGACCAATACGGCAATACTATAAATATTAAATTATTTATAATATTGGTGTAATGGACAATGTATGCCGTTAGACGTTGGTGTATGATATTATTCATAATATAGTTCATATTCACAAGTCCAAAAACAGCTGTTGCACGGTATTACTTTCRTATTGTATTGGTCACACTGTCTTCCATTAACAGTGGATAATATAAGTCTTTAGTCTTCATAGAATCATAGATAAACAATTACCATCATCATCTGTACTTGGGAGGTTTTTGTTATTTTCTGAATCCATTCTAGTAAGTCATTCATTTCCCAATTTATCTCAACGAACTTACCAAATCTATATTTATCTCCGACTCGTCAAAAACTGTGGAATGACGAAAACAGCAAATATGAAAGAAATTCTGCCAGCATTTCCGGAAGAAAATATCGGTAAGCGAACGTTCGAAATAAAAGGGCGTGTACCTTCGGACAATTCATAATGAAAACTAGTTTAAACAATTTATCTGGAATTATGTATATTCGTAGATATGTTTGCCGCCACCAGCGTTCTGCAGCAACAGGCGGCTGAAATAAGAAACTTGAACCCCAATTGGTCTTCTTATTTACAGTAAAGTTATTTTACTCGATATTGTTACATTATTCCCAATTGTATGTTTGTCTAATATCTTAAACTTAACTCTATCGCAGGTCTCAAATGATATCGCAAGACGTGTTTGATTTCATCAGTGCCTACGACGTGTCAGATGCCAAAGGCCAATTTTTAAATGACAATCGTCCACAATCGGCAAAGGCTTTCTTCAGTTTATTGGAACATATTTCTAAGGAATCGACTATACAATATGTACTGGTTTTGATTGATGATCTGTTGACCGTGAGTTGTTTCTTACCACTTTTGTGCTCTGGCCTCTGACCCAAATCATTGTCCACTAAGAACTCATGGTTTTCAATAATATGGTAAATCTAATTATTTCTTTTCAAACATTTTTATCTCGCAGGAAGATCGATCACGTGTGGAAATATTTCATGAATATGCTCTTAAAAAAAATGAACCAGTTTGTGGCAACTTTTTGAACCTGTTGAATGCTGCAGATGGGTTTATAAATAACATGTCTGCTAGAATTATTGCAAAGTTTGCCTGTTATTCAACTGATCTCATCAATCAAACTGATCTTCAGTTTTACTTGAATTGGATTAAAGAGCAGCTGCTTTCTGCTGTGAGTAAATACTTTAAAAAATATGAAAATAAATCTTGTTTTTCAGTGGCCTACGCAGGGGTAGGATTCTAGCCCCCTCTGAAATTTTTCCGTTTTAAATAATATCTCATTATCCACTATAATCAATTCATAGATTAGATTGATTGTTAGTAATTTTTTACAGTTATAAAATATAGTAGAATGGCAATAACATCGATAACCTTGCATAGTTTCAATTTTATTTCGGCTTATTAAGAACATTTTTAAACATATACCATAATCATCATATAATTTATCTTCAATTATAATCACATTTATTACGACCCTAAGAGGTTCTGTTGACGATCAGGTTAAATTCTTCTAAACGTAAGCTATAATAATAAATTCGAGGTAAGTCTATAATTTGTTTTAACCAACTATTTAAAAATTGTTAAACAAAAAAATAATATAATTAGGGATTAACC